AGGACAGAGCAAAGGATTAAAAAGGAAATAAATTTATAACTATTACTAAGAATGCATTACGCTTGCGTTTCTCTTCTAAAATGATGAATACAGGGGCAGGTTTACAGCTGTTCACATGGAAAATACAATAACTAATAAATAATAATACAAGAATAAACTGTGTTTTGAGTATTCACAGCTGTAAACCTGCTTTTGCCCCACCCTATATTCTAAGGTGTTTAGAATATCTAAATTAATTGAAATATTATTTTACATTTACTTCAAAATTGCATGACTAGAGTGTTGAGTTATTTATGATGGTTTGAAGACCCTCTATTTTTCTTCTTATCTTCACTACTCATGCTCCTAATTTCAGTACATTGATAAGGTATTTTTCTGAAATTATTATAAAATGAAAGATTATTTTCCATTTTTAAGGAAAGTAGAGATGGGTTCAAAAATAATAATTCTAAAAAAGAGGTAGACTCAACAATAAGAAAATTACCTACACAATAAGAAAAATGGGCAAAAGTACTGAACAGATACCTCACCCAAAAAGATATAAAAATGGCAAATAAGCATGTGAAAAAATGTTCAATATCATATGCCATTAAGGGATTTCAAGTTAGAATAATGATATTCCATTACACAACTATTAGAACGGCCAAAAGCCAAAGCACTGACACCACGAAACGCTGGTGAGGGTGTAGAGCAACAGGAACTCTCACTCATTGCTGGTGGGACTGCAAAATGGTACAGCCGTTTTGGAAGATAGTTTGGTGGTTTCTTACAAAAGCAGACATATTCTTAACCATAAAATCACACTCCTTGGTATTTATCCAAATGAGTTTAAACTTATACCCACACAAAAAACTATTCACAGATGTTCACAGCAGCTTAATTCATCCTTGAACTACACACTGGTGGAACAAATCCAAGTCAGCATAGCAAAAGCACTGATAGCTGAACTGCAACATAAAGCAATGCTCAGACTTCAAACTAACCTGCCAACTGTGCATGCTCAGAAAGAGTGGTTTGGTACATTTAAGTCAATACAGCAAAGATTTTAAGAAAGTGTGATTTGAATTGCTGCCTACAAGAGGTAAAACAAAACTTACAGTATGAAAGGAATAGACTGATAGGCTACTAAAACTAAAACAAAATTCTACAGAATATTATAGTTGAACTCAGAGTCTATACAGTATAATATTCAAAATATCCAAGATATAACTAAAAGTTATTCAACATAAAATAATCCAGGAATGCATGACCCATTCTCAAGCAAAAAAACCCAAAAATGATTAAGAGATGTTGCTTTTGACTGAATATGTCCCTCCAAAACTCGTAGGTTGAAACTATCCAGCCAATGTGATGGTATTAGAAGGTGGGGCCTCTCGGGGCAATCACCACATGAGGACACAGGAGAAGATGGTTTTCTACAAACCAGGAGGTGGGCTCTCACCAGACACCAAATATGCTGGCACCTTGATTGTGGAATTCTAAGCTTCCAGAACTGTGAGAAATAAAATACTCATTGTTTAAACAACCCAATTTACAGTACTTTGATAGAGCTACCCAAACTAAGACCGATGTCATTTCCAAGATAATCCAGATATTAAAATTGTCAAATAAATATTTTAAATCAGTTATCAGAATTCCCTTACATGTAGCAAAAAAGGCACACTTGAAATTATTAGAGTACTTAGAAGAAAAACAGAAACTACAAAAAAGAATCAAATGGAAATTTCAGAACTAAAAATTACAATTTCTGAAATTAAAAACATATATAATGTGATGTCATAATAAAATATAAGTATCAGAACAAATATAATGCAAACTTGAAGATAGTTAATAGAAAAACAATTGCAATAAAATGAGCATAGCTGCAGTGCCTGGGAGTAAAATATTACCAAAATATCTAGCAAATATTTTATTGAAGTCCTAGAATAGAAGGAGAAACAACTGGGACAGGAAAAATGACCAGTAAAAATGTCCTTCAAGAATGAAAGCATTTTCAGGTGAAGGAAAACTAGGAGAATTCAGCAACACCATAACTTGTGATAAAGAAAGTCCTTCAAATGGAAGGGAAATGACACCAATAGCAATATGGATCTTTGAGGGTGAAGAGATAATAGGAGAAGTGGCAAATACCTGAGGAAATATTTTTTAAAAAATTGTTTCCTCTTATGTGACTCATTATAGCAAATATAACATTGTCTGGTATGATACAGAATATATGGGGATGTGATATATATTACTCCTCTGACATAAAGGTCATTGGGGAAGATGTTAAAGATATCTATAAGGTTGCAAAGTTGCTACCTTCTATGTCAAGTGGTACAATATTAGTTCTATGTGAACTGCTGTGCTTCAAATATCCTCTTATAAGGATTAATGCAATCTCATTATTATTAATTTTTCAGATGAAGACCCTGTGGAGCACAAAATGAAATAATTTGCCCAAAGTTATATAACTAATGTTTGTAGAAAAATATATTCAATCCAAGTTTGGCTCACTGTAAATCTTAAGCTATATCCTATGCAAGACCACCTGAAACAAACTGCTATAGTGAATGAATTTTTACTTGTCTATAGTCTGTAACAGTGACCATTATACTTTTTTGTTGTTAATCTTCACCTGAGTATTTTTTTCCCCACTAACTTTTTAGAGATAGTGAAAGGGACAGAGGAGGGAGAGGGAGAGAGAGAGAAACATCAAGTGAGAGAGAGAAACATCAATGTGAGAGAGACACATGGTTCGGCTGCCTCCTGCATTTGCCCCCACCAGAGCTGGGGGATCAAACCACAACCCAGGTACATGCTCTTGACTGGGAATAGAACCCACAGCCCTTCGGTCCTTGGGACGATGCTCTGACCACTGAGCAAAACTGGCCAGGGCATGATCATTATACTTTATAAAATATAAGAACAAGCTCAATTAAGTTATTGACTAATGAGTTATTTTTACGTAACAGGAAAGGACACTGCAATGAATACTACAAGGATACTATAATACTCAATATTAAGATATTATTATTTGATTTACAACAATCACTTATTTTTTCCATCACCATTTATCCCCCCATACGCTCTTCCACCTCCAACACTGCCTGCCCCGGCCCCCCGCAATCACCACACTGTTGTGTGTCCATGAATAATCAGTTTTAACAGCTTTCTAAAGCTAAAAAGAAATATTGCATTGTAGTACAACACTGTTTCAGAAGGACCATGTGCAAAGAAAAGCAGCTCTTTTTTTTCCTTTTGGTATATAAGCAAAGAAACTGTAAAGCAGAGCTGACTGCTTTACAGCCTGCTCACTTCCACACCCCCACCAGGCAGAGCCAACCACAGCACTTCACCTGCGCACCTCCCACCGCACACAGATCAGCGCCACCGCAGCCAAGACCAAACCCCGTTAGTCCCTCAAGGTCTCTAACTGAGTGCTCAAGTCAGCAAAAAGTCTAAGCTGCTTGGGCTTTGTATTAAAGAATTCTGAGAATAAAATTTGCGGAGAGTTTCCAAACATAAGTCCCCAGCTTCAATAAGGCCAGCATGGGTCATTTCTGAGGAAAGTGGAAATTTTTAGGTTTGCATAAATAAATTGTTTCTTCACTCAATTCACTAAGCGCTCATCTAGCTGGACTCAACCACGAAGATGAAAATTAAGACCGTGTATTTAAATATATCAATAAGGAATCAGTGCAGGGAATGAAAACAACCAAGTCATGAGGTCAGACTCTGAACGGGGCCTGTGTACAATCTGAGCATGTGCGGGGTCAGCTGCAGCATGAAGGTGAGAGAAAATGTGATCCGGTAAAAATTTCAACCCCGTGCAGGCCCTTGGCCTGTATACTTTGGTTTTAGTGACACTTATGCATCTTATTTATAGTTATAATATTTTAGATAAAGCATCTGTCAAATACCATTTTCTAGAAAATATTTGATTCTATTTATACATCTATATAATGTTTTAATCTTCCTGGGAAATTAGGTTTAAAATATTCTGGGCTTACAGGAGCCCATTCTGTATCCTCTAAGTTTATAATGTAATGGTCACTGTTATAGACAGCATTTAGTCATTAAAAGGATTAGAGTTTTTAGTGTGAATAAATCTGAATAAAATGATTTTTCCCCCCTGCTGCCACAAGGTGAGGTACATGGAAGCCAAGGTGTCATTTTCCCAAGGAGGCTGCTTCTTCAGAGCAGGTTGATCTTTGAACTATTTCTGTATTGACAAATTGTTTTTCCAAGAGTTCTATTTATGTTCAAATTTATTGCACCTTATTACATGATTTTTAGCTTTGAAGTTCAGGGGCAAACAGAGCTTTAGTAAGATTCAACAACAGTAGCAGCAGCAACAAGATCAAGACCCTTCTTTACTGGGCATCGATTACTTATTAGCCAACAAATATTATTTGGTGAAATAGGTATTTTTGTGAATAAAGTGAGTAGCTGAATCTCAAAAGAGAAAGTGTGGTTTTCATCCTGACAATTAGGTTTATTTGCCGCCACCTGTATAAATGACCTGGGCTGTGACTTCAGATATTCTCAGTGAGAGAAGCTAATTTGTCCAAAATATTAGTCATTTGCAGTCAGGAGCAAGAGTCAGATTCCAGTATAGCTTGTCAAATAAATATTAACCATATGACTATTCTATAATCATATGGATTAAACTTCTAATATAAATAGTGAACTACCTAACTTATCTGTTATATTCTACATAAACTTCTAAGAGATTTTTTTATTACTGGGTTTGCATTACATATTTCAAATGTTAGTAGCACATACATTCTCTCTCAACCTCTCACTTTCTCTGTTGTGATAATAACAATAATGCAGGTGAATATTTTAATTTGCTCCAATATAAAGTAAGTGTGTGCTTTTTTTTCCCCCCCCAAAAATTGACCTGGAAAATATTACTATTTCATGCAGCATAAAAATGACAAAATGTAAGAAAGGCTTCCATGACTAGAGGTCCCGGAAGGGTGAAAACTACCTGGAACATCCTGTAGTGGACTTACCCTCCTCCAAGCACACAGGGACCAATTATCCAGATTGAGGATGGCTTGACAGAATCAAGAATGAATTCAAGGAGCCCCTGAGAGAGAATCGAAGATTAGATCAATACACTTCTGGCATAAATGAAAAAAGAGATAATTAATACAGGAGGCGAACCAATAAATTAGGCAATTGTGTTAAGGAAATGATGTGGGACTTCTGGTGCCCTAAAATGATCTCTGTAATCTCATGGAGAGGTTTAGATTAGTCTGGATTCTTTTCCATTAATAAAGTGTCCTCACTTAATTTATAAGATCTATTAGCTAGATACAGGGAAAAGAATAAAAATTAAAATTATGATATTCAATATATTAACATCTATTTAGCACAGACAGAAAAAAGAAAAAGTTACAATGCCAAGCCATGGCTATCTGTGTCAATGTTGTGTATATTTATTTCATTTATAGATTATATTCCTAATATTTGAAAATGTATACCTATAATTCTACATAAATAATTTGTCATTGAATCACACACTTAAACACATAACTAAATCCTCTTTATAATGAAAAATTACCAAGGATTCAAAAAGACTTTCAAAACTGATATGAAGGCATTGTAACAAAACTGATATGAAGGCATTGTAACACATGGGAACTGTTTTTAAACTGTATAATTAATTATAAACCTTGTTACATGTACATCAATAAGTAGAGATGTGAAGATCATATATAAAATTTTGATAGTATCTAAATAACATTCCATAAAGCTTTGGGAAGGCTTTAGGAAATCTCATGTCTATATTCTGAGGTAGTTCTTGTCACATGACAATGCTATAGTTTATATAACGGTCAACTAAAACATACATCTTTTTCTAGGCACAGATTGCTGAAATGCCTAGAGCTGACTGTGAAATGGAATATTTTACTCTTCTTTCCCCAAACCATTACTGCTTTATTACATCAGGTTAAAATAAGTAAAATACCAATACAAACTAATAAGTATTCATGTATAAATTATCTAAAAGTTTGGAAAACTTTGAATTTAGCTGATGTTCTTCACATAAAACAAGTGATTTATGTTAGTGAAAAGTTGCTTGTATTTGGTTTCCATTGCTGTATAAAAGATTGCCACAGTTTTAGTTGCTGGACACAACACTGATTTATAATTTTACAGCTTTTATAGGTCAGAGATCTGGGCAGGCTTAGCTGGATTCTCCATTCAGGGTCCCACAGGGGTGAAATCAAAGTGTGTTGGCCAATTTGCAATGTAATCTGGATGCTTGACTAGACAAGATCTGAATCCAAGCTCCCTCAGGTTCTTGGCAGGTTGCTTCCTAGTGGCTATAGATTCATGACAACTGTCTTCTTGAAAAACAACAGAGAGAGAGTTTTTGCTTCTTTGTATTTCTAACTCCAGGGAAAGCCTGGACCGTCTTTTAGAGAGATCACGTGATTAATCAGATCCACCAGCATAATCCCTCCCTTTTGGTTAATTTAGATGCAACTGAGAGGGACCTTCATTACATTTTGCAAAATTCCTTCACTTTTGTCCGCTAATGTAAACACGCTCACAATCCCACCCACACTCAAGGGGAAGGAATTATACAGGGTAGGCAACAGGAGATGGGAATGCCGAAGGACGCCTAGAATCCTGCAGACCACATGTCTAACGTATCCTTGCACACTATATGCTGCTCTCTGAGCAGCTCACCTAGCAGGACGGTCTTTTCATTGTTAGTAACTGCTTTTGTCTTACTGATTTGATATTTGAAACAACAGGATTATGTGCAAAGACAGTCTTATTATTCTTAAATACTTTAAGTAAATCATTGCTTTATCATCTCTGTTCAAATTATTTTTTATCTCCTCACGTACAGCAAAATGTACACATCTTAATTGTAGAGTCTGATGATTTTCACCAATTGCTAAGACTCCTGTGACTCACCCAAATGAAGATAGAGAAAAACATTTTCATCAACTCAGAAAGATCCCTGCTGCTCCTTCCCAGGAAATGATCACCTGTGCTCACAGAGGCAGTAACTGTTGATTTCTTTCTTCATAGATTTGATTTACTTATACTAAAATGTTTGAAATCATTCAGTAAATCTTATCAAATATATCTTGAAGGTTTCTGTTTTTAAAATTTCAATTATCATTGCTTGTTGGTAGAATCTCAGTTTGTTTACTGATAGTTTTACAATGGCCTAACTGATTAGACAGGAAACGAGCAAAATGACCTAAGAGGCACAAAAACCACCACTGAGACCATCTGCCTTGACTTCTTCTGAAGCCAAGGTTTATTAAACAGCTCTTGATGGTTCAATCTGGAGACAAAACTCATCTGAGTGTGAATGAAGGCCCCTGGGTGTCTCTCACTTCCAGTTTACACACTTTCTCTCTCTTGCTGCCCTGAGGCATTTGCATTTTAGTAAAAGCTGAACATGAATATGCTCTGTGGAGTTTTGGGAGTACTTGCAAATATCTGAACTTTTGAAATCACAGGCTTTTTTTTCATTTTTTTTGTTTTTGTTTGTTTTAGTAGCGTTCTTCAGATTTTCTAGATAGATCTGTTGGTGAATAAAGTAAGTTTTACTTTTTCCTATCCAATTTGGGTATATTTAATTTTTTTTCTTGGCTTGTTGCTTCCCCCCCCCCTTTCAATTTTATTTTTATTGTTTTCAGGTGTAGAACAGTTTTAGACAATCATACACTTTACATAGTGTTCCTCGATATTTCCATTACCCCAACAGGCACCATACATAGTTATCACAATATTATTGACTATATTTCCTATGCTTTACTTACACCCCCGTGACTATTTTGTAACTACCAATTTGTGCTTCTTAATCCCTTCACTTCTTTTACCCAGTCTGTTTCCCAACCCTCCTCCCCTCGCAACCACCAGTTTGCTTTCTGTGTCTGAGTTGTTTTCAATTTTGTTTGTTCGTTTATTTTGCTCTTTAGAGTCCACAATAAGTGAAATCATGTGATATTTGTTCTGACTTATTTCACTGATTATAATACCCTCTAGGTCCATCCATGCCATTGCAAATGGTAAGATTCCATTATTTTTAATGGTTAAGTAATATTCCGTTGTATATATGTACCACTGCTTTTTATCCACTAGTTTATTGATGGGCACTTGGGTTGCTTCCAAAGCTTAGCTGTTGTAACTAGTGCTGCAATGAACATAGGGGTGCATATATTCTTTCAAATTACTGTTTTGTGTTTCTTCCATGCAGTTCCATTTTTAATTTTTTGAAGAAACTCCATACTATTTTCCCTAGTGGCCGCACCAATCTGCATTCCCACCAACAGTGCATGAAGGTCCCCTTTTCTCTACACCCTTACCAACATTTGTCACTTGTGAATTTATTGATTATAGTCATTCTGACAAGTGTCAGGTGGTATCTCATTTGGTTTTAATTAGCATCACTCTGATGATTAGTGACATTGAACATCTTTTCATATGTCTATTGGCCATCTGTATGTCTTCTTTGGAGAAGTGTCTATTTAGATCTTCTGCTTGTTTTTTAATTGCATTATTGGTTTTTTTTTGGGGGGGAGGGGGTTTGTTGATATTTAGTATGAGTTCTTTATAAATTTTGGATATTAAGCTCTTATCAGATGTATCATTGACGAATATGTTCTCCCATTTAGTGGGTTGTCTTTTCATTTTGTTGATGGTTTCTTTTGCTGTGCAAAAACTTTTTAGTTTGATGTAGTCCCATTTGTTTATTTTTTCTTGTGTTTCCCTTTGACTTGTTGCTTTTGAAAGAACCTCTAGCACAATATTAAATGTAAGTGTTAAGAGTTTATATTCTTGTCTTTTTCCTGATCTTGGAAAGAATTCAGACTTTCACCATTAAGTAATAATTTACCTTAATAATGATTTTAGATATAGAGAAGAGTTGCAAAGATAGTACAGAGTATTACCATATGACTTTCATCCAGTCTTCCCTATATATAACCATGCCACATTCATAAACACTAAGAAATGAACATGACTACAATACTATTAACGAAACTAAAGACTTCTTTTAGGTTTTACCAACTTTCCCACAAATGGTCTTTCTAGAATGCAATGCTAGGTATCACACTGCATATAGTTATCATGTTTCTGTAGTCTCGTTCAATCTGTGACAGGTTCCCAGACTTTGTTTTTCATATCTTTGACACTTTTGAAGAATTGGTCAGGTATTTTATAGACTACCTCTCAATATTTATTTGTCTGGTGTTTTATCATATTTAGAAATAAGAAAAGTATGTCTATTTTATATTCCCAGAAGCAATATCCTTTACAAAGAGTTAATCCAATGATTTTGCTAGACTATGTCTTAGTTTTGATACTTCTGGGTCCATTTCTCAAGCACATGACATTTATTTCAATTGGTAGTCTCAAGTGTGTGTGAGTGTGTAAGTGTGTGTGTGAGTGTGTGTACCTGTTTGTAGGAACATTTTCTTGAACTGCACATTTTTAAACATATTTTTTGTTTCCTTATTTGGTTCTTCACAGAATGCTATAATTTGTATGTTCACAATTCTTTGCTTAAATTTAATAATTATTACTTTTTCTCAAATATTTCAACTATTTCTGATTAAGATTTTCCCCTCATTTTTAATCTGCTATTTATCTTGAGGTATCATCTGTTATTTTTATTTACTCTTGTGTTCTTTATAATTTAATTTTCTGGGTCAGTTTTCTCAGACATTTTCTGACATGCTTTCATTATCAGTAGGAATGTTATTCTGCAAATTATTCTCTTTTTTCTTATAATAATTTTGTACAGTTCTGGAGGCTAGAAGTACAAGATCAAAGTTTCAAGAGGTTCATTTTCTTCCAAGTCCGCTCTCACATAGTCATCCCTTAGGCTTTTATTGTCTGTGTTCTAATCTCCTTTCTTTTAAGGAAAAAAGTCAGATTGTATTAGGGCCCTCACATAAAGCTTCATTTACTTTAATTACCTCTTTAAAGGCCCTATATCTAGATATAGTCGCATTGCGAGATACTGGAAATCAGGACTTCAACATATGGGATTTGGAGGGGGATGGAGCACAGTTCAGGTCCCTTCCGCAACTTCTGTTTAGATTTCTCTTT